TGCTGGCTCAGGAATTCTGGGAGTTGAAGTCCACAAGTCATCAAGGGGGGCATGGTTCCTCCATGCTGGCTCAGGAATTCTGGGAGTTGAAGTCCAGAAGTCATCAAGGGGGCCATAGTTCCCCCATGCTGGCTCAGGAATTCTGGGAGTTGAAGTCCACAAGTCATCAAGGGGGGCATGGTTCCTCCATGCTGGCTCAGGAATTCTGGGAGTTGAAGTCCAGAAGTCATCAAGGGGGCCGTAGTTCCCCCATGCTGGCTCAGGAATTCTGGGAGTTGAAGTCCACCAGTCATAAAAGAGCCAAGGTTGCCTACCCCTGCCCTATACCATTCTGGGCAAATGGTTGTCTGAATCTTTCTTTTTGTGGATGCTCCTCCAGTGAAGGAGCACACACAACCTCCGGAGGCACGGTGATTGCGCCATCACGGCCGCCATCTTGACTTTCCTGACCCTGCCTTGGTGGACAATCCTGTTCATCCTTTCTAACCGATTTGAGTAAAGGTGTCACACAAACATGGTTAGTATGCCAAGAATAAGACATCAGCAATGTAATAATACAGGTAGCCCGTGACGTACAGCCCCAAATTTCTGTTGCTAAACAAGGCAGCTTTTAAGGTTGTGTTTTGCCCCATTTTATGACGTTTGTCGCCACCGTCGTTTAAGTGAATCACTGCAGGGGTTAAGTTACTAACCCGGTGGTTAAGTCAATCTGGTTTCCCTGTCAATTTTGCAAAAGGGGATTACCATGACCGGGGACACCGCGACTGTCGTAAAGATGAGTCAGTTGCCAAGCCTCCGAATTTTGATCACGTGACCCTGCAACGGTCGTTAAGTGTGGAAAAACGGCCTCAAGTCACTGTTTTCAGTGCCGTCGCAGCTTTGAACGGTCACTAAATGAAATGTTATAAGTCAGGGACTTACCTGTATGACAGCTGTCTCTCATTCTGAATATCTATTGAAGATTTGTGCGTTTGGGGCAATATTTACCGTTTTGTTCCTCGTTTTCTTTCTGTTTTAGATAAGAATAAAGAGCACAGCTTTTTCATCACAGACGCTGAACATCCAGGAGACTTCTGGAGAAATATAGCAGGTGGGTGTCGAAAAGGAGCTGGGAGAGTAGGATTCGAACCCAGAACTCCGCTAGGTGTGTTTACTTCGAAGTAAGCCTACTGATTTACGCTGTGTCTGTTCCCTACTTGGCATGCACAGACCCTCGTCTTGCAAATTTTTAATCAAATGACCGAATATTTTGTAGGGGTTTGTTTTATTTTTCCCTTCCCCCCAAAAAAATAAATAAAAAATAGAATGCTCCTTAATAGATAGAATAACTAAGGGGAAAATACAAATATAAGCGGGGGTAACCGCCGTGTTAATAGCCGTAAGAATATTAATTGCAGGTCCTATTTTAGCAAGAAATTTCCGGAAACGTATCAGGTTGCACAATGGAGCAGGCTGGGAAAGGGTGGGGGTGGGGGTGGGGGGGGAGAGAAAAACAGCATAAAAATGACAATAATTGAAATGTTCTCTTTGAAACCTTCCATTAAAAAGGATCACAGCTTATTGCTTTTAATATCTGTCAGAGAGACATTAAAGGTGTTTTATGAGATCTAAGGCAACATTTATATTATCTCCGTGATAATGATCTCTACACAAAATGTATAATACATTGACAAAAATTACATTATACAAATTAAATGGAACCACCTTTTACTGATTGCTAAATGTCTCCAAGGGTTTTGCGGAGGAGAGGAAGGGAGGAAGGGAGGAAGGAAGGGAGGGAGGGGGGGAAAAACATGATTAGAAGTTTTGATACTAAGTTGGGTATTGCCAGGGAGGGCTGTAAGGAAATAAGAAAAGGGAGGTTTTGTTTCAGGAGAGACAGAAAAAAAAAAAGAGGGGGGTGGAGGGAGGAATGTAATTTCCCATTTATGTAATGCAAACTGTCTCGGCTTTGACTATTCACGGTTAATTGACTGTCAAACGAGGTTGTTATCCTCGGGCTACGTCTGCAAATTTGCCTGTCAAATGAGACAGAGAAAGCGAGCCAGAGAGAGAGAGAGAGAGAGAGAAAGAGAGAGAGAGAAAGAGAGAGAGAGGGATAGAATGGAAAGCAGTTGCAAAAACTGGGGTCTCAAACCTTATGCGTAAAACCAGGAGGAAAACATTTGCAAACTTGGAATTACAAACATCAAACAAATCTTCCCGCAGATTGTAGAAACCTGGGGTTTGGCAGGCCCAGGAATGCATTGTAGGAAAGGTTTCTCCCGATTTTTTTAGTTTAAAAAAAAAAGTCTGAAAGAAGAAGGGGAAAGAGGAAACGGTAGCCTTTTAAAGAAAGTGAAAGGATGATCAGAAGAGAAATGGACATTAGAACGAGGTGAGGGAGAATAGGATAGGATGTGGAATAGAATAGAATAGAATAGAATAGAATAGAATAGAATAGAATAGAATAGAATAAAG